TATCATGACCTCATTTCCTTTCATTTACCTTTTTACTGTTTTCCAGCTTGTCTTTTATTTTTTTACATTGTGGTATATAGGGGTCAGATAAATGTATCAATACTAAGATTCTAATACAGAATAATTCATAAATCAGAATTTAAAACCAATTTAAATTTAAACCTGTTTCAGGTTTTCAATGTTTTGTAAAAAACGATTACAGGCAATGTTCCGTACATGATAAAGTGCATTTCAATTTGAAACGTAGTTACGCGACACCTGTACTCGCTTCAGGTCCGCGAGATGGAGATGGAGCTGGAGGATGAGCGGAAGCAGCGTTCAGCCGCTGTGGGTTCACGCAAGAAACTGGAGCTGGACCTGAAGGAGCTGGAGGCCGGCATTGACATGGCCAACAAGAACCGGGAGGAAGCGCTCAAACAGCTGAAGAAACTCCAAGTGAGTCCCAGTTGGAATGCCTTAAAATGCCCTTGCACCGTCCGGTCAGCTGTGTGTTGAACCACAAAATGTTATCCTGTTTTTTTTTTTCTACTTAATTTTGTATGCTCCTTAGGCCCAAATGAAAGAACTCATCAGGGAACTGGATGACACTCGTTTGTCCAGAGAGGATATACTTGCCCAGAGCAAGGAGACTGAGAAGAAGTTAAAGAGCATGGAAGCAGATATGCTCCAGATGCAGGAGGTCAGTATTCACAAGTCCCCCCCACCCCTTGTTTTTTTTTTTTACTCTTTGTTTTCGACGTTACATAGCTGGATACAATCTTGACATACGCGTCCTCTGTGCAGGAGCTGGGTGCCGCAGAGCGTGCGAAGAGACAGGCTCAGCTGGAGAGAGACGAGCTGCAGGATGAGATCAATAACCAGGCCACCAAGAAGTACGGCATCTCCGAAATCACGTTACAGATCCATGCAGTTCAAAATCTGCTTTTCCGTCAACCTTTCCGCTACTTCTCATTCACAGTGCTCAGGCCGCAGAAGAGCGGAGACGTCTGGAGGCTCGTATCGCTCAGCTGGAGGAAGAGGTGGAGGAGGAGCAGTGCAACACTGAGCTGATGAATGACAGGATGAAGAAAGCAATGCTTCAGGTCTGGATGTTTAGTCCTCCGCTGTCGAAAACGCGTGGGGGTTGCGCTTGGAGCAACAGGTTTGTGGCGACAGTCTCACTGAAATCCCCCCAACCCCCTCCAGACAGAGCAGATGAATGTGGAGCTGGCTGCGGAGCGCAGTGCCTCACAGCGTGTCGAAGGGGCCCGTTCCCAGATGGAGCGTCAGAACAAGGAGCTGAAGCTCAAACTGCAGGAGCTGGAGGGAACCGTCAAGTCCAAATACAAGGCCAATATGACCGCCTTGGAGGCCAAGATTGCTCAGCTGGAAGAGCAGCTCGACCTTGAGACCAGGTGCAAGCCGCAGCAGGAGAGAGGGAGATGTCATGGCGCGACACGCCTCCAGTCTGAACGGTGTTCTTGTTTCACTCAGGGAGCGGCAAAGTGCCTCCAAACTTGTGAGACGCACAGAGAAGAAACTGAAAGAAGTTGTTCTCCAGGTGGAGGATGAGAGACGCAACACGGAGCAGTACAAAGACCAGGTCTGTTTCTGTCATCTTAGCCTGCAGTAGGTTTCAGCAGGAAGTGTTTGTATTGCATTGTCAAACGTTAAATGGCACCATTGATCGCAACGTTTTCTATTTATGTATTTATTTATTTATTTTGCACTCATTTGTCTTCTAGTCGGACAAATTGAACTCTCGCATGAAGCAGCTGAAACGTCAGCTGGAGGAGGCCGAAGAAGAGGCTCAGAGGGCCAACGCACACCGAAGGAAACTGCAGAGGGAGTTGGAGGACGCCACTGAATCAGCGGAGTCAATGAACCGTGAAGTGTCCAGCCTCAAGAGCAAGTTAAGGTGAGCTGGGATGCCGCCGGGAGCTAATATTGTTGTGTCCAACACAGGTCGGTTCTCTTTGGATCACGTTCATATTTTACACGCTTTGTCACATTACTGGAGATTCCTACATGGGCTAAAATGACATTTTCCTCATCCGTTTAATACAGTTTGAAAAATGTCGTTTGTTTAAGAGCGTTGTCACAAAAACGTCATTTTCTTTTGAAGTTGATACTGATGAATTTCTACTGTTTTGGTGAATGGAATAAACTATAAGTAGTTGTGCTTACTTATTTACTTTTTTTTTTTTTGTGCTCCTTGATAGACGTGGCGACCTCCCTACTTTCACCATGCGTCGAATTGTGACCCGCACTGGCGTGGAAAATGATGATGATGATGATGAGGCCAAAAACGAGACCCCCGAGCCCAAACCTGAATGAACCGCTACAGTGACAACTTAATCTGTCACGAACAAACCATGATTAGACCACCCCAAATACACACGAGGCATACTGTTAGCGTACTGATCTGCGGCAAACTAAAACTAAATGCAAAGACCAAGTCACCTTGTGTGACTGGCTGATCAATTTAACCGTGACAATCTTTGCATTACAGATGCATACAGTTAAAAGTAAACTCGGAGAATCACCATGCAAACCCATTTTGGGCCTTTTTTTTTTTTTCTCCTTTTGACTAATAGTTCTTTTTCTGGGATAAGTGAATAAAGAACATATTTTTATAAGGAAACATTCAAACTATAAAAGCCCTGATGTAGGATCTATTTTTCTAATTGAAGAATGAGTAAATGGAAAGAAGGAAACTTAAATGAAGACTGATTACTGGAAGGGGACCAAAGTAATATCTCAATCTATAGATTTGTATTTTATGCTCAAGTTTTTTTTTTTTTCTATGACTAAGAATGGAAGTGCTACATGTTTATGGCTCTTGCTTGCGCTTTTGCCTTACGATGAAGGTTTCTATGCTCAGATCTATTGCACCAATGTAACTGTCGACATGTGACTCTGCTTTTGAGTTTAATCATTTGATATATATATATATACACCCACATTTCATGGAAATTGAGAGGAAGATGAGACAATTGGAAACGTATTGAACCGGTGAAATGTAGTGAAGGCATTTGATTGTGACTGTGCTAAAATTCTGTAATTTTTGCACTGATATGATGAAACACGTGGCCTATCCATTCGCAACCACTGCGTTCGTGTTTCTTAAAAACAAAATCCAAGATGTTTTGAAAATGTTGACGACAACCTGCGCATCTTTGAATAGTACATGCAAAGAACTTCAACACACACATTGAGAGCGTAAATGCAGCTGAACTGCTTTACCCAAAGCCCCCCGGATGTTTATTAATCTTTTGTGTTGTTGCTGTTGTCTTCGTTCTTGTTCAGGGTAAAGTTCAAATTGAGTTGTTTATTTCTAAGGGCACACACTGTATTCTCAGGGCACAGCTTATTGAGGGAGAAGTGGGTTGGCAAAGTCCCAAGGGTTGAACAAGTCATCCTCCTGGGATCTAAGGACATATTTGATCACTGTAGCCTGTGTACACTTTACTCAAAATGGCAGAAAAGATTCAGCATAGACATGAACACTTGTACCACATAAGCCCTCTTTTTGCAGACCGAAAGCCCTCACACGCTGTGCTCAAGGGTGGCTTTGGCTTGCTCACACTGCTGGGAAGTGAGAAGAATGTGTTATACTTAAATCACCGCTCAGATGAATTACTTGTATGCACTTAAAAACAAATTAAATCCAAACTGAAGTGTAACAAAAAATGCATCTCATTTTTGTCATGTTTATTACTTAAATCACCGCTCAGATGAATTACTTGTATGCACTTAAAAAGTTAAATCCAAACTGAAGTGGAACAATAAAATGCATCTCATTTTTGTCATGTTTAGCCGCACCTCAAGAATTGAAACAATGTTGTGACTATGTTGGTATTGGTATTACAAATAAAGAGGCTTTAAAAATGGGAATGTCTTAAGTTTGCTGTACTTCACACCACTTGGGAGCACTTCTCCCTGACCCAACGTTTTGTTTTTACTGCTGCGATACCAGACCATACAATGTATCGCCAGCAGATGTCAGTCAAGTATTTAGTTTTGCCTTGGAGTCTAAAATAATACATAGAAAAATGGTGTTGAACTCTTGTTACTTATTGTCCTTCTAATCTTTAGTGCGAACGTGAAACGAGTTGCTTTGAAATCTGACTTGTTTTGAAAGAATGCTGTAATTTAGTGTAAATATTGACGCAACATATACTGTACACGTTACTAAACAGTTTCAACAAATTCACATCTCACGGCAAGGAATGAAACAAAGATCAATTAAAAATGGGATAAGATGGAAACAAACTTTTTAAAACAGTGATTTACAATCTCTGGATTGTTTTAAAAGATACAATGGTACAATGTTCCTAGGAAATCACGATGGGTCATCACCGTTAGGCCAGCCTGGCTCCTCATCTGAGACCTTCGGGCTTTTATTACTATTATACTATCCCCAAAAATACATGAAACAAAAAGATCAGGAAATCCAAATACACACTTTGCAACAATTAAACAAGAAATATCAAGAATTTTTAAAAAGTAGGAAATGGTTATCCCAACTCCACAGTAGCGCCCTAAAAAATGGGATAAGATGGAAACAAACTTTTTAAAACGGTGATTTAAATGGGCAGGAAAAGAATAAAGATCAATATGCAGAGCTTCATTTACTGTATATAAATCTCTGGATTGTTTTAAAAGATACAATGGTACAATGTTCCTAGGAAATCACGATGGGTCATCACCGTTAGGCCAGCCTGGCTCCTCATCTGAGACCTTCGGGCTTTTATTACTATTATACTATCCCCAAAAATACATGAAACAAAAAGATCAGGGAATCCAAATACACACTTTACAACAAATAAAACAAAAAATATCAAGAATTTTTAAAAAGTAGAAAATGTTTATCCCAACTCCACAGTAGCGTCCTGACGCCCAGTGACGTAACAATCGGAGAGCCAATAAAAACTACGTTTTCGTGAAAGGGCGCGGCTGTCTTGTGACATCCAATCGCGTCCAACATAGCCGCCCTCCACAAGAACCGGCTAGTTACACGGAACACTTTTGCAATTCGAAGGCACTCTGGTGTTTATCAAAAGAGCGTCTAAAGTCAGTGGCCAGCCCCCGAGGTATCAATATCAGCCTCTAAGTTTCGTTATTACAGGTACCAAGGTCGGTTTTCAGTTTCATTATTACTGATGGTGAAACAATTTAGTCCAAAGGCAAAAAAGGGAAAGCCAAGCGGCGACACAACCAGAGACAACTTGACAAGGAAGGTATGAATTAGACAGCGCGTTTTCTTTGCTAAAATGTGTTTCGTAATTAGAATATCCATCCTTACGTGTGATGTAATATGTTGTTTGTTTATGTTGCCCTGTTTACTAATTCGGTGGATAATTAGTGTCCATTTTTGCACGTTGTAAATATTTGTCTCTGTTACTTTTTAGTTTGGAAATGTGTTGTTTTTGATATGCGTGAAGTGTCTTATTTTTGTCGTAGTGCGCTATTTGGGCTATGAGGACTGAGTTTCCTATGGGGATAGATAAAATACGTTGTGGGAGAATAGAGAGGCATTGTACTAATGTCCGCCGCGATGTCACTAATCAATCTATATCAAATCTATCTAACAGTATCCAACCTGAACTGTTACGTCACATTGACCTCAATAATCGAATGACATCCAAACAACAGGTCTTTATTCAATCTTAAACGATTTTTATTGCGCAGATTTGTGTTAGTTGAACTTTTGGGGTCACTTAGTTTGGGGTGTTTTTAAAGCTTGTACCGGTACTTTACAATCACACAACAGAGGGACATGGAGTAAGAACCCAATTAGTGACTCTTGGTTTGTTAATGAGTAGCTGTGTGTCAAGTCAGCTGCTTACCAACAAAACAGGAAAAAAACACATTGTTGGTCTTGTGATTCGTGTATAATTATTTGTGTGGTTTTGAAGCAGCCCTGCACAAACAGAGCTTGATCATGTGCCATTATCATCTGCATGGGTCAACATCGGCTTGCATCATCTGCCAAATTGGTTGAGGGGAGTGATCGCAAACAGCCTGTTCTGGAACATAGCCGTGTTTCTTCTTGCCAGGAAGAGGAGCGTCTGTCGAGTGAAACCTCAAAAAAAGGGCAGAGAATTTAGTCAACCCGCTCCAGTCCCTGCAGAACTATGGAACTGTTGCTGGTAGGTTTTTAAACTTTCAGTTCCATCTTTTGGTGTGCACTTGAAATGTTTCTCTTGGATGTAACTCGATTGTACCGATTGTTGTGACCAGTGAGAGTTTTAAAGTTACCAGATGTCAAGAAAGATTACTCATTGTAGCCTAGTTAGGATAAGCAGTTTCGAAAATGGACGCATGAAATGTAAATCTTCAATCAGAACTTCCATCTGTGGGTGCATATAAACACCATCTCTCCTCCCAACGTCTTTAGGCTCACCCAGCCATCAAAGCTTTCATGTGCGGCGCTTTCAGCGGAACCTGCTCCACGCTCCTTTTCCAGCCACTCGACCTGGTCAAAACACGACTGCAAACGTTGCAGAACAACATGCAGCCTGGGTAAGGGTTAACAAGCGCACACATCAGACACTTGCTTTGTCTAAAAATACTCACTTGACTGCATGAAGGCTAAAATGTCACTTTGACTTGGGGTAAACTTAGGATGGCACTTGCAGCATACGTAGGTCCATGTTATCGTGCAGTCCAGATTTAATTTGAACCACTTATCTGAATTTAATTCTTTCAGTTCTCGCACACATGCGACGCTTGCGTTGTTTAAAAATACTCACTTGACTGGATGGAGGCTAAAATGTCACTTTGACTCGGGGTAAACTTAGGATGGCACTTGCAGCATACGTAGGTCCATGTTATCGTGCAGTCCAGATTTAATTTGAACCACTTATCTGAATTTAATTCTTTCAGTTCTGGCCGTGTCGGGATGATGAGAGTGTTCCTGAATGTAGTGCGGACAGAGAGGCTGCTGGGATTGTGGAAGGGAGTTTCGCCGGTGAGAATGGCAATGCTCAAGCACCTGTGTGAATTCTTAAATGCCACTCACTCAACTTTCTCGTGTTTGTGTTCGGCCAGTCCTTCATGAGGACCATCCCCGGGGTGGGGCTCTACTTTAGCACTTACTGCTCACTGAAGCAGCACTTCTTCCAGGAGAAGAACCCGGGGGCCTTAGGGGCTGTGCTGCTGGGAGGCGGAGCCAGGACGGTGGCTGGGGTCCTCATGTTGCCTGTGACAGTCATCAAAACGCGATATGAAGTAAGAAAGCTCAGCAGAACGAGAGCAATTGTTCAACAATTCAAAATTGCACATCAGACTTCAACCGGTTAAGTTCCACTCAAGCGGTATTTGTGTTTTGGCTTCAGTGTGGCAGGTACCGTTATGCGAGCGTCACCGGGGCTTTGCGCAGTGTGTGTCGGACTGAAGGCCCCGCTGCGCTGTACTCTGGCCTGATGGCCACTCTGCTCCGAGACGTTCCTTTCTCTGGAATCTACGTGATGTTCTACAGCCAGATGAAGACCAATTTGCCCAACGGTATGTGAAGAGAAAAAAAAACATCAGGACAGTTTGCTCGTTTTGCTCACTTTGCTCCACTGTTTCTCTTCATTTAAGAGCTCAGCGTGTCTGCGTTCGCCCCCCTGGCTAACTTCAGCTGTGGGGTCCTGGCAGGGGTGTCGGCCTCGCTCATCACTCAGCCTGCCGACGTGGTCAAAACACTCGTCCAAGTGAACCCCCGCTTGAGCACGGTTGACGCTGTCAGATACATCTACGTGGTAAGTACATGACTGGCGTGAACCAGTCTTTTATGTCCATTGTTGTGTCACTACGACGGAGTCGACGTGTTAGCCTTGGAAACATCCAAACTACACACATGAATATGACGAAACAATGTCAACATTTACTCTGCAACTAGCCACGTTCAGCTGGATCTCAGCCAACCACACCAAATGTGATAACTGTTAGAAAACACAAGAGCGGATTTCCCTTTTTTTCCCCATAATTCCCCCCCCCCCCAATTTTGTGGACGTATTGTTTGTTTATCAGTGTTTTTTTTGGGGGGGGGTGAATTTGAAAGGTTTAAAAAGTATTTATCATGAATAACACCTTCTTCTATTTTATCTTCTCAACAAGGAACATGGACTTGAGGGTTTCTTAAGAGGGGCGTTGCCGCGCTCTCTCAGGAGGACGATGATGGCCGCCATGGCGTGGACCGTTTACGAGCAGATGATGGCATACCTTGGACTGAAATCGTGAAAAGGAAAGTCAAGGCGAAGGCGGTGGATGACAAAGAGATAAGGTCAAGTGACAAAAAGAGAAGAGGAAAAGTGCCTCCTCTGCAGTTTGCGCCTCATATGTCACAAGGATTTCTTGTCCTCAATGATGGAATTGCGCATGACGCAAAAGCTGGTCAAAGGTTGACAATGTGTTCTTCAGGTGTTATGGCAGATTGGTCACATTTTATAAGTTCCGAGTTGTGTTTGTCAGGAGCAGGCCCAGACTGCCGACAATAAGCCATGCATGATGATATTGGGGAGAAATGGCTTTGACTTCTGTAACACGCACTGATATCGTGTAGCTTTTTTGTTTTCATTTACTGTGACGTTTTATAGTCCTTTATCACAATAATGATTGAATTGAGTGTTCCTTTTATGTATAGATTATTTTAAAGAAGCTACCCATGTATTTATATTTTTCTAATACAATAAAGCAAATCTTCAACGTTGACAGCGATGTGTGCTCCTTAAACTGCTCTTGGACGCTGTCAATGATTAAACTGAAGGAGACTACCGAACATCAAGACCTGAAAGGTGACCTCGGATATGCTGCTGTGCAGATATGGCAGTTATGTCATAGGGTGTGCTGAATTCTGGACCTGAGATCACTGTGACATGACATATTCTGTCTTAATCTTGGTTTACAAACCAAGTGTCACTTGATGAAGCACGCAAAAGCGCTCTGGTGCATGTTGCTCAACTATACTTCCCCCACAGCGGAGGTTTTGCAATTAAACCACACATTTAATGATGTATATTAATTAAGCATGCTGTCTTAATTCATTAACGATTACAAAATAACTGATAAAATTTGAGGTACTGTAGACTTTTGAAATAAGAGAGCGATTGAAAACCTCAATGAAAAGCAGGACAGAAGATCAGTGATGTAATTAATTTGGCAGGAGAATTCTTCATAGTCACATTCAGCTGTATGGCCTGATCAGCTCTCCTTTATACTTCAGTATACTATTTTGCAACCTTTATATAGTAGTATTGATTAAGAAAAACAACTGAAGATGAAACAAAATTTGAGGCTGTGCAATAACGCCCACCTTAAGTGTCTTATTTTCCTTTGCTCTCGGGGGGGAAAACAATCTAACCTAATCTTTGCTTTGACACGACTGTGCCGTAATCATTGACACAAATCCTTTTTCAACGGAATGATTTAATGATCCATCACCCTCATCTGACTGGTTTTGAAACACAAGAAGGGAACCTGTCTTCATCTGTATGCTTGCCAGCCTACTTTTGGTTAAATTTCTGCGCAGAAGATAAAACCCTTACAATTATTTGGGTCACTGACACGTTTCAATGGATTCATTTCTCAACTTTAAACCAAGGACACTTTGTTCATTCGATGGTCATGTTGACTGGAACTCTTTATCTTGGGCAAATAAATACACTTGCCACACAGGTCAGACTTTGACTGAGAAGTCAGCGTCTCAGCATTGTCTTAATATGGTCTTTCCAACTTGTCTTAATATGGGATGACCATCCGACAACATGCCACCCCCCGGGCCATCGTCCACCACTGCCATCTCTCGATGAGACGTCAGAACTACAACAAACTCTGTTGAACGGAACCAACCAATCACAAGCTTGGAAAAGTACTATATATATGACGTCATTTCCTGTCAGCGGCCTCTTTTGCCATCGTGTGGTTAGTCTTCCATACGGCGTTGTTTCGTGGTGAGTTCCTTGGACGGATATTTAGAATGTTTAACCTTCAAATGTATCCAGAGAATTAAGTAATCGTTTTATTGCTATCTTAATCCCCTACAGTGACGTTAAAAACTAGACATTTCATTCTGACGTCGTCTTGAAACGCCTTAGCGAGTTATGCTAACATTTGAAGCTAGCTAACTAGCTTGTGACACGCGCTCTCTCCATGCTTTCAGATCGGCTCGACTCTACACACCGCCGCCGTGAAAAACTTAGAACGTTATTTTAATTACTAACTGTATGCAGATGGTGACGTTGAGTATAAATGTGTCGCGTTAACAATGAACGTCCGCTGTTTAAAAGAGTAGCGACTCAATATTTCAATGTTGATATTACTGTAACCGTACAATATTGGATGTTGCACGATCAGAAAATTAGGCCTTTGTGGCTTTTCTTCCAATATGCTGATTTCTTTTATTCCACAGCTCTCCCACCTCACTCGTAACTCCGGGAAAGTGGTCACGATGTCCGGAAGTCTGGATGTCCTTCAAATGAAGGAGGAAGATGTGCTGAAATTCCTGGCAGCAGGAACCCACCTGGGAGGTACCAACTTGGACTTCCAGATGGAGCAGTATGTCTATAAGAGAAAAAGCGATGGTACGTGTAGATGCATATTAATGTCTAATTTCTCATTTTCTGTACATGTTTTGGAATATATTGTAATTTTTTTTGCTTTCATTTAAGGTGTCTACATCATTAACCTGAGAAAGACCTGGGAGAAGCTGCTGCTGGCCGCAAGAGCCATTGTTGCCATTGAAAACCCAGCAGATGTTTGCGTCATCTCCTCCAGGAACACTGGACAGGTAATTTGAGTTCTACACTGTTTTCTCCTACTCCACAATTAATATTGTAATGTGAAAATGCACACTATTAAAGCCGGACACCGTTGTTGGTGTTCAGGTGTCGGAAGTGTGCAAAAGTAATTATGGACGGGTTTTCATGTAAACCATTGAGAACTGACGTTCCAGGATTGTGGTTTGATAGCCCTGAGCCACAATGTACACAAGCTTTCAAAAATGAGATGAAATGACTCTTGTGCTAGAATTGACAACTTTTTGTTTCCTCTTCAGCGAGCAGTGTTGAAGTTTGCCTCTGCCACTGGTTCCACCACCTTCCATGGCCGTTTCACCCCAGGTACATTCACCAATCAGATCCAGGCAGCTTTCAGGGAGCCCCGCCTCCTGATCGTGACAGATCCACGTGCTGATCACCAGCCACTGACGGAGGCCTCCTATGTGAACATCCCCTCCATTGCTCTGTGCAACACCGACTCCCCACTTCGATATGTGGACATTGCCATCCCCTGTAACAACAAGGTGAGCCATAGAATCAAATAACTCTACAGCTTTGTTTCACGGAGGAGCTTGTTTTCTAATTTGTCTGTTTTCAGGGTCACCACTCTGTGGGTCTGATGTGGTGGATGTTGGCCCGGGAGGTTCTTCGAATGAGGGGCACCATTTCCAGAGAGCATCCTTGGGAAGTCATGCCTGATCTGTACTTCTACAGAGATCCCGAGGAGGTAAATATTATTCCGCCCCTATCTTGACAGCAGAATTCCAAATACTGACTAATGAGGTGCTTTCAAATGTAGATCGAGAAGGAGGAGCAGGCTGCTGCTGAGAAGGCTGTTGGGAAGGAGGAGTTCCAAGGGGAATGGACTGCCCCTGCAGCAGAGTTTGCCCAGCCTGAGGTTGCTGACTGGTCTGAGGGCGTTGCTGTGCCATCTGTGCCCATTCAGCAGTTCCCAGCAGGTAGGATCGATTCAGTCTCGCCACTCTGTGCTACTCCAGTCTCGATATTGAGGGTTATCCCCCCCCCCCATTCATTAAGCAGGTGCTCCAGCAGCTGTAAAGCCCACTGAAGTCTTTTCAGGTGAGTTGTCCTTTGAAATGCATAAAAACGTTTTACATTTTGGATGGTTTCTTATTATTTTTTTTTCCCACTTGCAGAGGACTGGAGCAATCAGCCTGCCACTGAGGACTGGTCCACTGCTCCCACTGCCCAGGCCTCTGACTGGGGTGGTGCCACTTCTGATTGGTCTTAAATAACAAACAAAACTGACCGTGATGGTAAATAAAGTGTTTCACACCATTTTTCTCAGTTGTCTGTTTTTACCTTCTGTGACAGTCACAAGCTGTGAATGTGTTGTGCCTTTTGAAATGTTACAAAATTAGGCTAATGAACAGAATTCTCTGAGAGAATCCAGGTGAGGGTAGAAGTGTAAACTGTTAAATGGACAATAGATAGAGCAGCACTATCACAATGATGAACTCATGGGACCTGAAGGACGCTTATGTTACTCGCAACATGACATTCCTTAGACCCACCACTAGAAATCTAACGGGTGGGGCTGCAGTCCAATTATTGGGCCATTTACAGTATGTCAAACATAAAATGGCAATTACCTGAAGGACAGTCATATCTGATAATCTGCAATCTCTTCGAAGTGGGTAGTAGATTGACATTTAGCACAGTGATTAAATGTTTTTGTGTGTGTGTGTGTGGGGGGGGGGGGTTAAACCGATAGCAACTCCTCCAAATGGCTTTCTACTTGAGCAGAATGTCGACGACTGACGCGTGTGGCCAAAGACGTGAATGACTATGACAACAGTCGTCACGTAGAGAGCATGCTTCAGTTATTAGGGCCATTTAAAGCACTGCTGAATGTAATATTCCGGAATATTCTTTGTCTTCATTGTGTACAAGTGCTAAAGAAATTCGGAACGGTTGTGCACTGTGTGCGCAGCATCCCGCCTGTGCAGAACAATCACCACCTCCACATTCGCGCTCGACAGCCGGGTGGGCGTGTCCCAGGGCGGTTCCGACTCTGCGATTGGGCGAACACTGTTTCCTTTCCTCCTCGACTTCCGCTCTCAGCACGCCCAACCACGGAATAATGATAATAATGATCAAGATGGCTACTACAGATGCCTTCTTTCTGTAGCTAAGCACCAGTTTCATGGGATCACTCCAAACTGCACTTTGTAACTCTTAAAGTCCCTCGTAGGCGACGAGGGCTACGCCGGGAACGACACTACATGGATTCATTACGGACTGTGAGGAAATTCTAGTAATTGTGTCGCCTGTAACAGTTATCCAACGGAAGCTAGCTAACAGAGGAACCAGCTAGCCGAATAGTTGGCCACTCTCTCCGGCGTTAGCCGACCACCCGCGGGGGAGCTTGGCTCGATTTCTGGGAACAAATGGCCGAACCGAGGAAAGTTCCCTTCGTCACACTCTCGTCGTTCAACACATCCGCTCCGTCGACCCCGGAGTTGAGCAAGAAACGCCGCCGCGAGGATGAGGCCATGACTTTGGGCAGAGACGGTGGTGGAAGTGTGGTCGGCTCAGAAGGTGGCGGAGGTCTGTTTGGGACCGCGCAGGGTGATGTCGCCGAGTCCGAGGAGGCGAAACCCACCGTCCGACTCAACCTCTCTCTCTCCGAGCCGAGTGAACGTGGTTCCGCCGAGTTCAACTACAGCGAGCTGGTGGACCCGGCGCCTTCACGCTCCTCTCAGGTGAGCCTCAGCGTACAATGACGTGAGCAAGGGGGTCCTCCTGTGGTGCACTTGACCCGAATTAAAATCCAATATTGTCTTCCAAAAGTTCTTTACGGTAGAAAACGTGACTATATGAAACTGTTTGCCATCAGTTATTTTACAGAACATGCACAGTAAACGCGTCATTAGCACCTAAGTTCATTTTCGGAATTTAAGGACTTCAAGTGAA